TTTCAATGATCTTTCCTAAAAATGGTAGGTTTGATATGGGCCTGTAGTTATTTATTACTGAGGCATCCAGATTAGGCTTTTTTAAGAGAGGTTTAATGACTGCAGTTTTCAGGGCCATTGGAAAAAGGCCTGACTGAAGAGAACAGTTTACTATCTGTAGTATATCTGATGCTATGCAGTTAAAAAACATCTTTAAAAAAGCTTGTAGGCAGAGTGTCAAGGCAGCAGGTAGTGGACCTAAGGTTTCTAACTATGTCTGTCAAAGTAGCATAATTTAATAGGTGAAAAAGTGCCAAATTAACTGGAGTAGTCTTATGAGGCACAGGTGAAATAGCCACTGTGTTGGAGTTACAGACTGTCTGTCTTATCTTTAAAATCTTGTCTGTGAAAAAAGAAGCAAAGTCATTGCATGCCTTGGTGGATAGCAGTTCAGGAGGGACTGACGCTGATGGGTTTGTCAGTCTGTCAACAACAGTAAATGAAGTCTGTGCATTGTTGTTATTTTTGTTGATAATCTCAGAGAAAAAGGACTGCCGTGCCCTTTTTAGCTCCAAGTTATAGATGTGCAGACTTTCCTTATAGATGTCATAATGAACCTGGAGTTTGGTTTTTCGCCACCTGCGTTCTGCTTTTCTACATTCTCTTTTTTGAGCTTTTACCCGTGTGGCGTTCCTCCATGGTGGTTTTTTTCTTACCGGAGACAACTTTGACCTTCACGGGGGCAATATTATCCATGATATTCATAGCTTTAGAGCTGAAACTATGAACCAGATCATTGACAGAAACTGAGGGCAGAGCTGGTGTGGGTATAAAATCCTGGGTGAATAGTGTACAGGTGTTTTCATTGATATAGCGTTTTCTGATTACCTCTGTTGTAATTTTACTGGTGTCAGCGGAGATGGCCATTTTAAAGAAAACACAGTAATGATCAGAAAAGGCAACATCAGTCACCACAACCTCAGAAATGTTGAGCCCTTTGGAGATAATTAGATCTAAACTATGTCCCTTATTGTGTGTTGGCTCTGTTACATGCTGGGAAAGTGAAGTCTAAATAACACATGCCTGCATGTTACCACTTTATGTATAACTGTTCATCTACCATACAGACTGAAACTCCGTATTTCAAATATTTATTCAAAAACAAATACATCAAACAATAATTTGGAACAAACAATAATTAGGAACTGTTATATTAAATTTAATCAACTATACATTTTTTATAATTTATCTACAAATTTCTCAAAGAGAGACAAGTATCTTTCAGCCCTTTCAGTGGCTGATCTCTCCCTCGCCTCTTCTCTCTCTACCTGCTCCTTCAGGAACTCCAGGAGCTCCTGGTTGACCCTGGACCTCTTTCTTGGTGGCAGGTTGGCCCGTTCTTTGGGAGGGGCAGAGAAGGGGAGGTGACAACACCACCTGTAGTGGTGGTCAAATTAGATGCCACTACCAGGGGCGGGCTTATGGAGTGCTGCCCCCGGAGTGCAGCAGTCACCCCACCCGCCTCCACCCCTTTCCCTGTCGGAGGATCCCTAAACTCCTAAAAGACAGCATCAATGAATGAACGCTTGAAGTCCCAAAAGGTTTCCAGTTTGAATGGCTTCACAAATGTTGACTAATATGTTTGTTGCAACACTATCAACTGTTGAAATGTCAAGTTATAATACCGTTATTTTAAGATGTCTTGCCACAATGAAATACTGATTCCATAAATATTGTGTAATACCAATATTTGTTTTCAGCTTGACTTTTTTGAGATGATGAATTCCACATTTAACAAATATGTATATAGCTTCATTGCTAAAGAGTAGACACAGTGGTGGGTTACCTTCAGGTTGTTCCATTTTTTCATGGCATGCTTGGCTGTCACAGCAAAGCCGCAATTTTTCACGAAGACTCTGGATAAAGAACACACACACACACACACACACACACACACACACACAAAGAAGACAACTTAGTCAGACATCATATTACATGATATTATTACAAATTAAACACACAAGTTAACAGAGATATTTCAATGACAAACACACAAGCTGACAGAAACATTCGATATGTAGTTATGGTATGATAATGCAGACATTTCGTATGAAGGCAATATTGCACTTCGGCAGTACACATAAGTTATTATTATTGTTAGTACAAATTAGTCATTTTGTTTAAGTTGATAACTACATAACTGTCACCTGTACTTTTCTTTTGCGCTTCTCAAGTACTTTGCACTGATACCACACTACAGCCTACTTTAAGAATAGTCATAAGAATAACTTTATTGATCCTCAGAGTGAAATTACTTATCTATTCACCAGGTTACAATTTACTTTTATAATATTTGCTTTAGCTTTCTACTTTGTATTTGTTTTCTTTATTTTTTCAGCATCAAACTCTTCTAAGAGGCTATCAAGTCTGATACAAACACACCAATGGACCACCGCCTGTCGCATGCAAACACATAAAAAGCATACTCACTCTAGGGCTGTCCCGAATGCCATTTTTTAACATTCGGACCTTAGGCAGAATTTATAATGAATATCTGAATATTCGTTCACGGCGCGGGGGGGTGGGGTTGGGGGTGATCGTCTGTTAAATAGGTCTGTAAATGATATTTTGACATTATTATTATTATAATCATTAGGCCATTACTTACGCTTTCATCCGTGAGGTCACTGTGAGCATTCATAATGGCCAAATGTGTTAGTCTTACCTGTATCATGGTGTTGCGCAGCAGGGGCGGATCTATGGGTGGGCCTGGGTGGGCACAGCTTGCCCACCCAGTAAGATTCATGAAAAAAAAAAAAAAATTTTTGAAAAAATAAATAAAAATAAATCACAATTCATACAGAATTATCATAGAATCTGTTTTAAATGTTTAATTGTCATTTCTGTTTTACTGAGAAATTTCAAAATTAAATAAAAATTTTAAAAAAAGAACTTCCTCTGTTGCGTCATTGACGATGTCATGCACATGCTTGAGTTCACAAGCAGTCAGACGGCGGGTGCCGAGGGTCACAGGCACTGTAGCAGGAAGCTGAACTCGTTTAACAATGGCTTAACAGTTATCTTTGAGCCACTTTTTCAAGAAACCACGTCTACAGACAGAAGAAAGTTCGGACCAGGCTGTGCTTAACGAGGATGGTCGTCAGGAGAACTTAATTGGCCCGGGGAATGAGGGGGAAAGAGCCACCACGTCATCGTCGCCATCCCGAGAGTCATGCTAGCATTTGTGCTAACCCGGCTCCGGCTCCGGCTCCGACCCACCGACCGCCGCTGGCCGCATCTAGTGAGCCAATCCGGACACTGTTGGATTTATCACCGATGGAGGAACCAGCCACTCAACCCAAGCTAATAGCATTCCCAGCTACTGTCATAGGTGGGAAATCGCGGTCATTTAATGCCAACTGGTATGGGAAGTACAAGTGGATTGAGTACAGTAAAGAACAAGATGCAGTGTTTTGTAAAGCTTGCAGACATTTTCCAGAGATGCACACTGAGACTACGTTTATAAGTGGCTACAATAACTGGAAACTTCTCAGAGAGGCCTGCGACAAACATGAGTCTAGTAAGCTGCATGTCATTGCGCAAACAAAACTGGCATCATTCAGGAACAGCCACGGGCCACAAAGCCGCGGGACAGTGTTGAACCAGCTGCACGGTGATGCTCCAGCATTCGTGGAGAGACACCGGGAACATGTTAAGGTTGTCCTGGACATTGTTATGTTGTGTGCCAAGCTTGAAATCCCGCTCAGAGGCCACAGAGAAACCGAGGACTCGCTCAACAAAGGGAATTTTTTGGAGCTTTTTAAGTTCATGTCAAAATATGCACCAGAAATTGATAACCGACTGAAGGAGCTGCCACGAAATGCCACACTGATGAGCTACCAGGTTCAGAATGAGCTGCTTGAAGCTGCAGCATCAATCCTGCTTCGTAAGATAAAGGCTGAACTGCATGGACAATATTTTGCAATATTTGCAGATGAGTATAAAGATTTGGCGAAACGAGAGTTAGTTGCTGTTTGTGTGAGATTTATTCATGGAGCAGTCATCAAAGAGTGGGCAGTGGGCTTTGTTGAGGCCGCGGACTTGTCTGCACAAGGAATATCACAAAAGATCCTGGAGGCCCTTCAACCACTTGGTCTGGATGCTTCTCTCTGTGTCGGACTCTGTTTTGATGGAACATCTGTTATGTCGGGACACAGGGGTGGGGTTCAGGTTGTCCTGAAAGAAACTTTTCCGAAAGCCATTTATGTACACTGCAACTCACATCAGCTGAACTTAGTGTTGTGCAGTGCAGCCAAAGAATCCGGGCATGTTAGCACCTTTTTTGACACTGTGAATCAAATACATAGCTTCTTCACTGGGGCCCAGCGGCACGCTCGATTTATGGAGATCCAAAAGGAGATGCACCCCGACCGTCAGAGGATAGAGCTGGAGAGATCGAGCGACACCAGATGGAGTTCAAAATCTGGGTCGGTGCACAAGATATTGAAATTGTTGGATGTGTTACTGGAGGCTCTAGCTGAATGTGCAGAAGGCAGTGGACAAACTAAAATAGAAGCAGAACAACTGTTGCAACAGATGCAAACGAAAAAGTTCATTTTCATGCTTGTGACATTTTGCAAACTTTTTGAAAACAGTGATTTTGCCACAAAGGGGCTGCAGAGCTCAACATTATGCGTCACAGACTGCATATCCCTCATAGAAACGCTGAAAACTACAGTACAGGCCAAAAGTTTGGACACACCTTCTCATTCAATACGTTTTCTTTATTTTCATGACTATTTACATTGTAGATTCTCACTGAAGGCATCAAAACTATGAATGAACACATGTGGAGTTATGTACTTAACAAAAAAAGGTGAAATAACTGAAAACATGTTTTATATTCTAGTTTCTTCAAAATAGCCACCCTTTGCTCTGATTACTGCTTTGCACACTCTTGGCATTCTCTCCATGAGCTTCAAGAGGTAGTCACCTGAAATGGTTTTCCAACAGTCTTGAAGGAGTTCCCAGAGGTGTTTAGCACTTGTTGGCCCCTTTGCCTTCACTCTGCGGTCCAGCTCACCCCAAACCATCTCGATTGGGTTCAGGTCCGGTGACTGTGGAGGCCAGGTCATCTGCCGCAGCACTCCATCACTCTCCTTCTTGGTCAAATAGCCCTTACACAGCCTGGAGGTGTGTTTGGGGTCATTGTCCTGTTGAAAAATAAATGATCGTCCAACTAAACGCAAACCGGATGGGATGGCATGTCGCTGCAGGATGCTGTGGTAGCCATGCTGGTTCAGTGTGCCTTCAATTTTGAATAAATCCCCAACAGTGTCACCAGCAAAACACCCCCACACCATCACACCTCCTCCTCCATGCTTCACAGTGGGAACCAGGCATGTGGAATCCATCCGTTCACCTTTTCTGCGTCTCACAAAGACACGGCGGTTGGAACCAAAGATCTCAAATTTGGACTCATCAGACCAAAGCACAGATTTCCACTGGTCTAATGTCCATTCCTTGTGTTTCTTGGCCCAAACAAATCTCTTCTGCTTGTTGCCTCTCCTTAGCAGTGGTTTCCTAGCAGCTATTTGACCATGAAGGCCTGATTGGCGCAGTCTCCTCTTAACAGTTGTTCTAGAGATGGGTCTGCTGCTAGAACTCTGTGTGGCATTCATCTGGTCTCTGATCTGAGCTGCTGTTAACTTGCGATTTCTGAGGCTGGTGACTCGGATGAACTTATCCTCAGAAGCAGAGGTGACTCTTGGTCTTCCTTTCCTGGGTCGGTCCTCATGTGTGCCAGTTTCGTTGTAGCGCTTGATGGTTTTTGCGACTCCACTTGGGGACACATTTAAAGTTTTTGCAATTTTCCGGACTGACTGACCTTCATTTCTTAAAGTAATGATGGCCACTCGTTTTTCTTTAGTTAGCTGATTGGTTCTTGCCATAATATGAATTTTAACAGTTGTCCAATAGGGCTGTCGGCTGTGTATTAACCTGACTTCTGCACAACACAACTGATGGTCCCAACCCCATTGATAAAGCAAGAAATTCCACTAATTAACCCTGATAAGGCACACCTGTGAAGTGGAAACCATTTCAGGTGACTACCTCTTGAAGCTCATGGAGAGAATGCCAAGAGTGTGCAAAGCAGTAATCAGAGCAAAGGGTGGCTATTTTGAAGAAACTAGAATATAAAACATGTTTTCAGTTATTTCACCTTTTTTTGTTAAGTACATAACTCCACATGTGTTCATTCATAGTTTTGATGCCTTCAGTGAGAATCTACAATGTAAATAGTCATGAAAATAAAGAAAATGCATTGAATGAGAAGGTGTGTCCAAACTTTTGGCCTGTACTGTACATATGCGGCTTTCCGGGATGATTCAGATGGTGACTTTGAAAAAGTGCTCAGACTGACAGAAGAATTGATGGAAAAGCACTAGATAGCTAACTGGGATGTGGCTGCTTCTCGTGCGCGCAAGCTGCCTTCAAAGTTTTGCACATCTGTTGTCACCATGACACTGGGGAAAACATCGGCCATCACGAGTGATGCTGATTTAAAGGCTTTGTGGAACAGTGTTCTGGACAGGCAGGTATCGGAGTTAAACAGCTGATTTAAAGAGGACACATGGAATCATGAGAGCATCGGCCTCTTTTGCACCTGGATCTGCCACTTTTGGAGACAAAGACATTTTAAAAGCTCTGTGTGACTTGTATGGGATTGAAATAGCTGATGCTGAACATTCTGTGTTCACTCAGCACATCAGATGGAAAATGGATCAGAACAACTTCCCCACACTGATGGAAATATTGGACAGCTGCCTGTCGGACATTTTTCCTAATATGCACAGTCTGTTAAGGGCCATCGTAACGCTCCCTTTGACCTCCTGCAGCGTCGAGACTTTTCTCC